TTGATAAGGTAAGGATATCACTAGACGAGAATTAGAGTGGAATACATACCTAAAGCAACCTTTAGAAGCCACTATGAACATTATGAGTTCATAGTCATGTCTTTTGGTTTAATTAATGCTCTCGTAATATTCGAGTTGATGAACAAATGATGAATTCTGGGTTATGTTCATTAACGACATCCTGGTGTGTTCTAAGTTTGAAGTGGAGCACGAGGAACACCTGAGGAAAGTTTTAATTCTACTAAGAACCTACCAGTTATATGCTAGATTCACGAAGTGCGAATTCTGACTACAAAAGGTGGTCTTCCTTTGACATGTGATATCCAGATAGTGAATAACTCTAGATCTTGCTAAGACAAAAGTAGTGAAGATCATTTGCAAATGGTTTTAATTGTATTGAGAACGCCTCTGTTGTATATCAAGTTTTCTAAGTGTGAGTTCTGGCTTTGAGAAGTAGCATTTTTAGAACATGTGGTCTCAAGAGGGGAAATTATTGTGGATCCAGCTAAGGTTGAAGCTGTCATGTGGTGACCAAGGTCGACAACTGTGACAGAGGTAAGAGGCTTTTTGGGCTTGATTGGCTACTATAGGAGATTTGTCCAAGACTTCTCGAAAATGTCAGTAGCGATGACTTAGTTGACCAAAAAAAAAAAAAAAAAAAAAAAGGGGGAAGCCCTTTGTGTGGACTCCAACTTGTGAAGAGAGCTTCCAAGAGTTGAAATGGAGGTTGGTGACTGCACGTGTCCTCACAGTGTCCGATGAAATAGGCAACCTCGTTGTGTATAGTGACGCCTCAGGGAAGGACTTGGGATGTGTGCTTATGCAGAATGAGAAAGTAATTGCGTACGCTACTAGACAATTAAAGGATTATGAGCGGAATTATCCTACCCATGCCTTGGAGCTAGCTGCCATGGTGTTCGCACTGAAGACATGGCAGCATTACCTGTATGAGAGAATCCAAGCGTACATAGACCACAAGAGCCTTAAATATTTGTTCACTCATAAGGAGTTGAATATGAGACAAAGGAGGTGGCTTGAGCTAGTGAAAGACCACGATGTTGAGATCCTATATCATCCTAGCAAGGCTAATGTGGTAACTCATGCCTTGAGCAGGAAGACAACCCACACCTTTGCATTGGTCACTCAACAGAGCAATCTTCAAGATGAGATCCAAAGAGCTAGGATTAATATAGTAGTTAAGAACATCACCGCACAATTAGCTTAGTTGACAGTATAGTCCATACTTCGTAAATGCATCATTGATGCAAAGTCTAAAGATGCGCAGCTCCTCAAAGTTTGTGACACCCAAGAGGCTGGAAGAGTTGAAGGGCTTAATTTCATCGGAAGGCGGGCTTTTGTGGTAGGGACACTTGTGTGTACCTAGGGATAAGGAAATCCTCAAGGAGGTTATGTCTAAAGCACATATGTCCTACACATTTCACCCTAGTAGTAAGAAAATGTATTAGGACCGTAAGAACAGTTAATGGTGGCTAGAAATAAACAAAAAATAAAAAAATAAAAAAAAATAAAAAAAAGACATCGCTGACTTTGTGGGACGTTGTCTAATGTATCAGCGGGTGAAAGCCCAAGAAAACATCTTGCAGGGTTGCTGCAACCCTTAAACATACTCTAGTGGTAGTGGGAGGAAGTGAGTATAGATTTCATATCTGATCTACCTAAGACTCGACATGGTTTTGATGTGATCCAAGTCATTGTTGATAGACCCACAAAAACAGCTCACTTCATCCCAAGTAAGAGCACATTTCGAGTGGATTGATGAGCTCAGTTGTACATCCGAGAAATAGTTCAGTTGCATGGGGTGCCTACTTCCATTGTATCTGATCACGATGCTAGGTTTAACTCTCATTTTTTTGAAAGGTTTGCAGAAAGGTTTGGATACCCAACTTTATTTCAAGTACAGTCTTCCATTCTCAGACAAATGAATAGATAGAAAGGTTGAATCAAGTATTAAAGAACGTGCTCAAAGCGTGTGTGATGTATGTCGTTGGTTGTTGGGATGAACACCTACCCCTCATGAAAGTCGCTTATGACAATAGTTATCAAACAAGGATTCATATGGCTCCGTTGAGCTCGTGTATGGGAAGAGGTGTCAGACACAAGTATTTTGGGAATAGGATGGAACCCAACCACTTATGGGACCGAAATTAGTTCAGGTTACCAACGCGGCAGTCTAGAAAATCAGATCATGGATGCTTACTGCACAAAGCCGACAAAAGAGTTACGCTGACACTCGAAAAAAGGATCTCAAGTTTGCGGTGGGCAAACATGTTTTCCTGAAGGTAACGCCCATGAGAGGGGTGTTAAGGTTTGGGAAAAAGGTGTAAGTTTAGCCCCACGTTCATAGGTACCTTTCAAATCCTTGAGAGGATTAGTGTCGTGGTGTACAGGTTGGCATTGCCACCCTCTCTCGCCACTGTGCACAATGTTTTTCATATATCCATGTTGAGAAAATACACATCGTACCCCACACACAACATTGAGCATGAAGCACTTGCGCTTCGAGATGATCTATTATACAAAGAGGCCCCAATCTGAGTTATAGCCTGAGATGTCAAGTGATTGCGAAACAAGGAGTTTCTCCTTATCAAAGTCTTGTGGGATAATCATTTGATTAGCGAGGCTACCTGGGAACGTGAGGATGACTTTAGGAAGTCTTACCCTGAACTTTTCTTTTCAGGAACAACCAACTTTCAAGGACGAAAGTTTCTAAGGAGTGGAGAATTTGTAACACCTGAACCTCGCAAACCTAATTTTCCCCCTTTAAGTTGAATTTCCAATATTTTATTGAGGATTTTAGAGACCGAATTTTAAGATGAGGTAGAAGAGAAAAATTCTTAGAAGTATCTTAGGAACTCAAAGAAAAATATAAAAAAGAAAAAAATGGTGAAAAATTAGAAAAATGGTCAAAGTCAACCTCGGAAGGGTAATTTGGTCATTCTAGCATCTTCATCGTTAATAACCTGAAAGGGAGGTTAGTAAAAGATGAATAAAAGAAAAGAAAAAGAAAAGAGAGAGAGAGAAAGAGAAGTAACCACCCCTTCCGATCCGGCCACGAGTCCGATTCCGGTCCAGATTTCTTTACAAATCCTTCATAGAACCTATTGAAAGCATTCTGGACCATTGAGTCATCCAATACCGTCAAGAAACGAGGAAAATTCGTAGGTAAGTTCTTGAACCTTTGCTTTCGAATTTTCCTCAAATTTGTGAGAAATATTGAGAGTTGGATTATGAAATTTGAGTACGTTAATCTATAGATGATTAGACTCATAATCCGTAAAAGAAGTCTTGATCGATTCAAATTAGAAATAGGAGTTCCGGCTTTCACCAAAGGATGTAAGTATTGATGTTTCTTGCCAAGTTTGGACTAAGTTTATTAGTTCGATGGTTAGAAATAAATTACAAGAAAAATGTCGACAGGTAGATGGATATGAGATCTACGAATCTCGTGAAGGAATCTTGAAAGATATACAAAAATGCAAAAAATATTGAAAATAATCGATTTTCTGGAAAATCTCAGAGATGAGAGGAAGAAGTTGAAGGCGGAGGGGCGTGCGTCGTCGGAATGATGGAACACATGTCAGGCGTGTATAGGCGGAAGAAAATCAAGAAAAGAGTTGCGTCGGGTAGGGTTCGAAGACCGGCACTTACTACTAGATCCGTGAACCCGCACGCGACCCGATTTGACTTCGGTTCGACTATTTTTCATCCCGTTTTTTATTAGGAGTGTATATGGTTTGGGTTGGGTTGAGTTGATGAATTTTTTTGACCCAACAAAAGTTCAGGTTGGGTAGATTGGTAATCCAACCCAACTCTTTATTTTTGGATTGGGTTCGGGTCTTAAAAAAATTATTTTTTTAAAAATTGTAACATATTAACATAGTTCAAATTATCGTAAAACAAAAGATTATTCAAAGTTCACAAACAAACGCAAATCAATTTATAATTATTAAAAAAAAAATCAATAAAAAATAAACACAAAAATTGTAATATATTAACATAGATCAACATTGTCGTAAAACAAAAAACAACTAAAATATCAAATACTTACTTAGAATTGGTTAGAGTAAGAAAAATATAAGAATAGATCATGAAATTAAAAAAAGCAATAAAAAATACTATATATAACAAAAAAAAAAAATAAAAAAATTAAAAAAAATTAAAAAAATATTATAATTGAAATAGATGTTAGAGATTCTTATAGTTTAGAACTCTACTTGTTCGTCATTTCTCAATTTTCGTCGTCTCTAACTTCTATTTCAATTATAATATTTTTTATTTTTTGTTATATATGGTATGCATCTGTTTCAAAATAACATAAATATATGTATAAATTATAATTAATAAACGTATTCATAAATTATATTCTTAAATTAAATGAATAGTTATATGTTAATTTATTTCTATTATAAATAATGCATTGTAAAATAATATGAAATATTACAGTATTTTAAAAAAAATTATAGTTAAAGACAAAGTACCACACCGGCTCAGGTTAACCTAGTATACCCAAACGCTATACTAGCTATTATCGGCTAAGAGGTCATCTCTCTACACCTCAGGGTCCTAACGTGGTTCTCTATGTCTCAAGGTCGTTAAGACTATTGAGTTAGGAGCCTGACTTCCAAATTCACTCATTCAAGACTTTTAAGTCTAAACAATCCAGGGTTAAAAGAGTCTCTTCCTCTATGCGTCCCTCACGACACACTAACCGTAACATTAGGAGGATCCCCTATCTAAACCCTTCTCAATTCTTGCAAGAGTACAACCTAGGCATAACACAACACTACAACTTATCATTCATATCATATGTTCACACAATCATTCAACAAGAGTTTATGTAGGATTAACAATGCATATAGTCATACAAGCTCAATGGGGCTATAACATCCATCAACATTTGGAGTGCAAAAACACAATTTTCCTCGTCTGCCAACATATTATGAACAGATAAAAGCAGTAATAAAATAGTTCAGCAAACATACAAACATCGAGTATGAAATCTCATTAGGGCAGCAAGTCTAACGGATATATATTTAATTTCCTAAGTACAGAGGATTATCAGATCTAGCCACCTAGGAGTAATTTACTCTAGTATACATGTAAAACCAAGTGCAGCTTACAAATATTACTTCCTAATTCTGTGTGGTTACTTACAAGTATGTCACGTGCCTTCCCAAGTTTGATTTACAGTCGTACGGAGTCCGAAAATTACGAATTTTCTATGCAGTGACCTAGTTCACAGTAAAATAGGATTAGCACTGGAATCGGGACGAATAATGGGTGAAAACAGGGCACTCACGCGCCTGCACGCGCTTGTAGGGGAACTCCCATGCACCGGCACACTCCCCTATGCGCGAATTTCACGCGCAGGATGTACGCGCAGGCAGAGGCGTGCTTCGAACCCCAGCGGACGTAGAATTACCCCTCGAATTTTCTGGGTGTGACACGTGTCGTACAAGGGCTGGCGGTGGGTTTCGGATTGGACAGTGGGTCGTCGGGTTGCTTCACGGAGTACGGGTCAGGTTTCGGTGTGGGTTTCAGGGTCAGCCGTCGAACGTGTGTCAGCGGAGGCGCCAGATGACACAATCGCACTTTTAAAGGCAGCGGACTAGCGGTTGTGCGGCACTCACTTTCCAACGACAAGTGAGCTAAGCCAATTTGTTCTTGCCTCGCCTACAGCCAAGCGACGTATGATCAAGCCTCTAGCCTCGGTTTTGAAAGAAGGTTTTGGCAAACGAGGGTAGAGAGAGATTTTAGAAAGAGAGATTTTTGAAAGAGACGTTATATAAGCAAGCAAGAGAGAGATAACAACGACTTAGCATATATAACCTTGGGTAGGGAGAAGTTGACAACTAGTCATATTCTCCTATAGTACATTCTGAGGCATTTCATGTCTGGCAGGCCTAGACATGATATTTTTGAGGCATCATACGCCCTAGAACTACAAAAGTAAAAACACTAGAATGGAAAGACATGACGAGGGTTTGGCTTGCCATAGGCATGCGGCCATGGGCAACACGCCCTGGACGAGCATGACCGTGACATCCTCCCCCACTTAATTGGTTGACGACCCCGTCAACCGACTACTTTCAAACCTAGCGATGTGGGTGGCGGCGGAGTTCAGATCTTCGGCGCGTTCCCAGCTGGTTTTCTCTGTAGGGAGATTCTTCCATTTGACAAGGAATTCACGAATCGTCCGTACAGGTTTTCCTATCTTCCTAACCCTGTCGGCGAGGATCTCCTCTACTTCTTTTGTTTCTTTTTGCCTCAGGTCGATGCTCGGTCTTGTGATTGCATTTCGTTGGTCATCGTCTGGGTCAGGGTGGTATGGCTTCAAGTTGCTCACATGAATTACTGGGTGGATTTTCATCCATGTGGGGAGTGCAACTCGGTAGGAGGTAGTCCCGATCTTTTTAAGGACTTCAACCGGGCCTTCATATTTTCGAACTAGTCTCTGGTCCTTTCGGCTGCGAAATCTGATCTGTTCTGGTTTCAGCTTGATGAGAACTTGATCTCCTGCTCGGAATTGAAGGGGGCGACGCTTCTTGTCTGCCCACTTTTTCATATGCTTGGAAGCCTTCTCTAAATATGCCCGGGCTATATCTGTTGTCTGCTTCCATTCTCTTTTGAAGTTGTGAGCTTGAGGGTTTTTCCCTGCATAAGGATGATCAATAATATGGGGTAAGGCCGGTTGTCGTCCACTTACAATTTCAAAGGGACTCTTTCCCGTAGACGAGCTGGTTTGACAATTGAAGCAAAATTGGGCGACATCTAACAGTTGTATCCAGTTCTTCTGGCGAGCCAATGGTGCACAATCCATCCTCGATGTCTTGCACCTTTGTACGCCACCACAGTTTGGCGTCGTCTATGAGATACATCGAGGCTACGGTCACCTTCTTGTCGTCAGTACAAGCCGTTGTGGCTTTGAAGTACTGTTCGACATCAAAGATGAAGTTTTCCAACTCTTTGGCGTCCCGATTCCCTTTCAAGGCTCTAGGATCTGGGAATCTTAGTTTGTTGGACCCTGTATTAGTTTGTCCAGCCGTGACGTTCTCCACGGCTTTCATGGTCACTTCAATTCGAGTGCCCATGGAGGCCATCCTTTCTTGTATGTCGTCGATTGTTGTTCTAAACTCATCAGCTAATCCATTGAACAAGCTCATCATTGTATTTTGTAGCACGCCGAACTCTTCGCCACGTCCCTCCTTGTGCGCGACAGAGCTATCCGGACTACCAGACGGTTTTGGGTTGCTCGTAGGAGCAACTCTTTCTTCGAGCGAGGTCACTCGAAACATCAATTCTGCGATTGGCAACCCATCCAGGCGGTTGCCCATTGCGTCGATTCCTACGACTTTCTCACTCAATTCGGTCACCCGTGCTTCCAGGAAGTGGAGGGTGTCAGGGACTTCTTTGAGGAACAACATTTCCTCCTCTATTAGCGTAAGCCGGTCGGCTTGTGCTTTGAGTGTCGACTTTGTCGCCGACATGGTTTCGGTCTTTACTGTGTCACGGAGCTAACGTTGCTCTGATACCACTTGACACAATCGCACTTTTAAAGGCAGCGGACTAGCGATTGTGCGACACTCACTTTCCAACGACAAGTGAGTTATGCCAATTTGTTCTTGCGTCGCCTACGGCCAAGCGACGTATGATCAAGCCTCTAGCCTCGATTTTGAAAGAAGGTTTTGGAAAACGAGGGTAGAGAGAGATTTTAGAAAGAGAGATTTTTGAAAGAGACGTTATATAAGCAAGCAAGAGAGAGATAACAACGGCTTAGCATATATAACCTTGGGTAGGGAGAAGTTGACAACTAGTCATATCCCCCCATAGTACATTCTGAGGCATTTCATGTCTGGCAGGCCTAGACATGATATTTTTGAGGCGTCATACGCCCTAGAACTACAAAAGTAAAAACACTAGAATGAAAAGACATGACAAGGGTTTGGCTTGCCATAGGCATGCGGCCATGGGCAACACGCCCCGGACGAGCATGATCGTGACACCAGACGCGTCTCTCCACCGGTTGCTCGATGCGTGTCCTCCCTCTTTGATTGCCTGAGTTCATCCAATTTTCAGATTCCAGTCAAATTCTATATCAACCTATTTATTTTAGATTTTTTTATCTTCCAATCCATAATTTGAATTAAATCGATTTCTTCACAAGAATATAAGATCTCAAGTCCACCTATCCAGATATATTTTTCTTACATTTTTTTGATACTCACAACGCTTAATAAATAAAGTTGAAAATCGAAAAAAATTCAATTTCTGACCGAAGTTGGACAATTCTCGATTTTGTTTTAATGGTATTTTTAGTAATTTAGCTTTAAAATATCCCTGAACTTTGTACTTTTCTCAAAAATACCCCTAAACTTTTGAAAGTTTTATGATATTTGTTTAAACTTTTTTTTGAAAGTTGAAAGGACATTATTGAAACTTTTGAAAGTTTATGGAAATTTTTTAGACAAACTGCAACAACGTTCAAGGGTATTTTTATTAATTTAGTTTTAAAATATCTCTGAACGTTGTACTTTTCTCAAAAATACCCTTGAATTTTTCAAAGTTTAATGGTATTTTTTCATACTTTTTTTTGAAAGTTGAAAGGGCATTATTGACATTTTTTTAAAAGTTTATGAGAATTTTGTACACAAACGCAACGTTCATTCTTGTAGACAAGCTATTATAATAATAATAAAATAATAAATAAATAAAAAGATATCCACAAATAAATGAACCAAAATCATTGCCTCAATTATAGTCGGAATTTAAGGATGCAAATGTCTGAATCACAGAGAAAACAAGTAACAGACAACTAATTAAAACAAACTACCGGTGCGAAATGTTTTACATATATAAGAGGTATATGTCGAATAAGGTAAAGTCTATATCAAATCTAAAGGAAAGAGTCTGACTTAAGTTATTGTTGCATAGAATGGTAAAAGATAGTCGTAAGAATCGTTTGAGTTTGGATACTCACTTTGTCAAATGTCTTTGATCGTGTTGGGTGTGAGTGCTTGCATAGTTGTGGTTGTAGCTGGGTCATATGAAGCTGGAGCTTCACAAGGAAGCAATGGCGGTAAACCTGTGATTCAAATCATATTAGTTTTAACAAGCATTTAACAACGATCCTATATTTTAAAAATGTTTAATATGTTGATTCATCGTACCATCAGCAAGCCCATATCCAAAGTTTTCTGAAAAGTAGTTTTTCGGGCTCTCATACCAATTATCCAAATTGTTTTGCCCAAAAGTATCAACACTTTCGTTGAAAGCTTGATCTCCCATGACATTATTTATCGAAAAATTTACCTGTTTTCATACAACATCGACTTAGATTAAAGCTCACTTTTTCAACGTACAGATATGAAAGTTTAAAGAGAGTGTGTAACCTCCAAGGATGGATCGGGATAACTCAGACACTCAAAAGCATTTTGAACCATCATTGTCCATGTCTTCTTTGGAACTTTGTTACCAAGCAGCTGCACAAATTGTTATTTTGTTGGTTTTGATTCTAGCTCGAAGCACACCAAAATAAATTACCGAAATAAAAGAAATAAGAAGAGGGTTTTATTTTGATTTTGTTGGTCTACCTTTTGTAGAGCGGCCGGACCTATTTCATCGTATTTCAGCACGAAGTCGCCCACAGTATTGATGTCATGCAATGATAAGTTTTTGTGATATGCGCCATCTTTTCCTATCCCTTCGAGTCGCCAAACTTCATCTTCTATGCTCGGAGGATGATGCTTCTTGTTCACTGAAATCATATAAAGAAGAAGAATCATTCATTCAACAGTGCAAAACTATTAAATAGACAGAGCTTACCTTCTCCACGGTGATCCAAGACCCTAAAACGTTGAGACACCGCAGCCCCAATAGTTGGAAACATGGCTAGAATGTTTTCATCGACAATGTTCGCTCCGAAACGAAACTTCTTGGATTTTATCCAACTCGAGTTGTCGGTGATAGACACACACTTGATGGAAGCAAAGCCATTCTCGAGGTTGAGTTTGATATCACTCCCAACCAGTAAAGGCCTTTTCCCTTCTCTTGAGGACAAAATGTTTCGATTGAATTCACTCAAACTAGGGTTAGTTTCATCATAGCCTCCATCGAGAAGGACGAGCCCAACCGGGGCCGATGACAGAGGACCCGTGCGGACTATGGCATTGGTTGTGGCATCATAAATTGCAACTCCCACAGCCTCACCGTTTTCTGCTTGGATTTCATTGTTGGTGAAGATAGTGGAGGCTGGTTGGATGCAGAAAAATAGCTTGAACTTCTCAACCCCTCCTCCAATAATTGCTACTTCTCCAGCCTCTCTCCTTCCTCTATATGATGAAACCAAACCATAGTTTAAAAGACAACATTTATGGTTAATAATACGAATATGTAACATGATGTCGTGTGCGACTAAAATGTGAGTCAATAAGCTGCACTTGCTCAAACCCGAACATTAAACATCGGGGATGTGACCGTCATGCGTTAAGAAATCAGGAATTGTGGAACATTTATAGGAACAGAGTTATACGTCTTACCACAACTACCTTAGTACAAGGAAAATATCTTCTCAAATTACGGTAGGTACGGTGTTATTTATTTCATTTCTTTCTGGTTGGATGATTTGTTTCAAAGGGATTGTTACAAATTTGAAAATAAAATAACTATATATATTTTTTTTCTTAAAAGAATTAGTTAACCCACCAAGTGTTTTATTTGAGTAACACAAAATGACAGTAAAGAGATGATGAGAAAACAAACACAAGTATGGTATACAGAACCCTAAAAACAAAGTTCTTATAAAATTGTATCCAAACATCACACGCTAAATCGTTAATTCAAGAAATGGAAATACAATCGAATGGAAAAGTATAAGAACGAAAATGAAAAGAGATTAAAATACGAACCTTAGGAATTCCAAAAAAGGAGGAACATGAGTTTGAAGTGCATTCTCCACTTCCTTGTGTATCTTAAAAACACCGAAGGGATGTCATAAATTAGCTTCGAATTCAAGTTTGGATGTCATAAAAATAAAAAATAAAAAAGAAATAAAATACCCAGTTGGTCAAGTGAGGTTGAAATCGAGACAAAAATTCAACCATGGAAAGATCACCTTCCGCTGCAGATCCAGCTCCAATACTATGAACAAAAAAGAATCCCACAACCTAGAAAATTACAAAAAAAAACCAGAAAAACCTAGAAAACCCAGAATAAACATAAAAATTGAGAGAGAGGGAGAGCGAACCCAGATGAGGAAGAAGGGCGAGTTCTCTTGGGGTTAGGGATATCATCATCGTTGGGAGGCATCTTGCTCTTGCCTTTGACATCCATTTTGATATCTATGCCTCTCCAAACTGATACTCACTCCCCCAACAGATCACACCCAGAAATCTTTGAAGGAGTGATGTGGTGAAAGAAGGATTGATTTATGAACTCAACCTCTTCCATATCAGAGAGAGAGAGAGAGAGAGAGAGAGAGAGAGAGAGAGAGAGGGCTTCGTCTAGAGAGAGTTAGAGAGAGACAGTGGAAGCTTAGAAACTGTTGAGAAATTTTCAGACAACTTCCACACCATCAACAACGCGTCTGCCTTGGTCTTCTCTTATCGGCTACCGGCTAACCTATGCCACCCCCATTCAAATTACTTTTTTTCAATTAAATTAATAAAATCATTCTAATTTTTTTAAATTTAATTTTGAAAGTACCTACAAAAATAAAAAAAGTCACAATTGCATTCATGTGACTGCGGGTGACAGCGATTGTGTGGCACTTATTTTAACAAAGCGAACAAGTCAGCCTTGAGAAATTGAACGTTGCGAACAGTATCGGTGTATGTGTAGGTCTCGAAAATACATTGGAACTCGGTTGGAAGAATTGAAGAAAAAAACGTTATATGACTATAAGAAAAGAAACAAATACCACAACTTAAATAGCATATAACTCAGGGGTATATGACCATTGTCACTTCTTCCTACTTGTTTTACATGGTACTAACAATAAAAAAAAAAAAAAAAATACCCTTTTACGACGTAAAACAATAAAGATATTTTAGAATTTTTTAAAGGGTATTTTTTTTATAACAAATTATTAACCATTTTCATTTAAAACTAAGGGTAAGGGTATTTTTTTTTATACATTATTAAAACTTTTGAAATTCGAGCTATTTTGAAATAAAGTGGAAAGTTTAAAGTTTATTTAATATTTAATTACAAATTAGTTCATAATTAATCGTTAGTCCATCTAATGAATAATATGTGACGTTTAATATATGGTAATTAGACTGTGTCAATATGCATTTTTTATTTCTTATACGGAGTGACAAATTATGAATATATTTTAAAGTTTCCATGGCATTAAACATTAAATTCAAATGGTCAATTATTTTTAAAATCTAGAAATTTAAATTTTTTATACCAATAAACAAATAAGATATAAATAATATAAAGGAAAGAACTATTAGATTCTCCCTTTCAACATTATATATTTATTTTTTTAACTTTATTTTGTTGGTCCCACCTTAAACCTAAGACCTAAGACAAACTTCTCCATGTTTTGTGTATCTATATTGGAGGCGTTGGATACGTACGTACGTATGTAGGAGTGAGATATGTTAGCTATCGGTGTATGAAGAGATGTCTACTTGATGGATTGAAGATCGGTAAACTTTTCTATTCTCGTTCTTGCTACTTATATTGAGAGGATATTTTGGAGATATATTAGTTAGAATATATCTGAGATATTTAGAGAGTTGTTAGTATAAATTTGATTAATCGTATATTTTATTTATTTACAAGATTTAGTTAGATATATTATTTTTTTCTATTTTTAGGTATTAGTTAATAGTTTGTATCTATTTAAACGTGGTAAACCTGAATGAAGATCATACACTTTTCCAATTCTATTTTCTATTTCTATTTCTTAACAACTTATCTTAATCTTTTTTTCTCTATAAAAAAAAATTGTTATATATACACACAAATGGGGATGGGACAGAAATCACGACACGAGTAGGAAATTGGGTAAGGTAAGGAAGAGAGAATATAATCACGGTCTCCTGCCTCGTTTAGCGAATAAGAAGAAATCTCTCGTCACTTCCTGTGATGTCCCACATTGGTTGAGGAGGAGAACAAAACACACTTTATAAGGATGTAGAAATCTTCTCGTACCAAACGTGTTTTAAAGCCTTGAAGGGCAGGAAAAGTTCAATAATTAGTAGGTAATTTATTGATCTATATAGGAAAGAATATTTCATTAAATTTGTACGATATGGTCTAAAGTGTTACATTTAGGGGTAAGATTTGTAGTATTGCCCAATTTTCACCTGACCCACAAATATTTAAGTTGTCTCGGTATATTTTACAAGATTTTGTTTGATTCTAGTCAACTCGAAAGTTTGTCCAATGAATCCAAAAACTCGAACTGAACCTATTCAATTCTAGAAAATTAACCCAACCTAATGGTAATCAATTTATTGTTTTCATCCATATAATAATGATAAGATCTTTTTTTAAACTTTTTTACTTTTATAAATGTAAGAGGGTGTTAGTGTTATTTTTAAAATTTCATTGATATTTTTTAAATATAGTACTGACGGTAGAGTATTTTTGAACTTTTTAAACAAATTGAAGAGTATTATTGAAATTTTTTTAAAGTTAAAAGGATATTTTTGAAACACTTCTAAAAATTCAAAAAGTATTTTTGAAACAAAATACTAATACTAATTGTTCCAGCAAAATTAAGGTAAAAATATTTTTTCGATATTTTTGAAAGTGTAAACGTACTTTTGAGATAAAATGCAAAGTTTAAGAATATTTTTATTAATTTAGCTTCATAAATATAATCGTTCCATTTGTTGTAATATTGCTAGTCATAATGTAATATTCCTTTCAGTTTTAGTTTAAATTTCATTAGAACTCGTAAATTTTTAACTATAGAAATTTAGTTATATTAAGAGTTGTTGATGAATCATGTACATAATCAAATTCTTCTAACAATCCCCAACATTAGTTAAGTCAGAAAAAAAAAACTATGCACACCAATTTCTTCACACAACTTTCGAAATGCTTCTAATTTTAGAGGTTTTGTCAACAAATCAGCAAAGTTGATTTCGTATACCACAAAATAATAAATTAACTGTTCATTCTTTGGTAAGATCTCTAAGAAAGTGAAGTCTTATTCTTATGTGTTTGGAACGTCCATGTAGAACTGGATTTTTTTTGCTAGCTTAATAGTTGAAGTATTATCACACATTAGTTTTGTTCTTTCTATTTGAGAGTGACTAATCTCTTTGAGTATCCTCCTCATCTAAATAGCTTGACATGCACAGACACTAGCAGCAACAAACTCAGCTTGTGTGGTTGATAAGGTGACTATAGGCTGCTTACGAGAAGACCAAGCTACTGCTCCTCCACTCATCATAAATACATAGCCTGAAACACTCTTTCTATCTTCCATGGCTCCGACATAGTCACTTAAAATCTTTTTAGCTCTCTTCTTCTTGATGAAGAGTGTCGGCTCACTAGAACTGCTTTTGAATCCTTTCTTGATGAAGTAGGATTCTATTCGACTAAACCAAGTTCTAGGTACTTGTTTTAATTCGTAGAGAGCTTTTTGGAGTTTGTACACATCTCACTTTTTTCTTATAGCCTTTTGGTTATTCGACAAAAATATCTTCTTTTAACTCGCTATATAAAAAAGCTGATTTGACATCTAATTGATCAGAGTTATCAAATTTTTTGGGCTGCAAAAGCAATGATCATTCTCACCGTATCCATTCTGGCCACAGGAGTTACACTTCCGTATAATCAATTTCATGTTCTTGGGTGTAGTCTCTCACAACCAATCTTGTTTTGTATTTATCAACTTCTCCAGACTCATTTAACTTGATTTTATAAATCCAGTTCACTCCTATTTTCTTTGCTTCGGCTAGTAGAACCACAAGTGATGTGTTTGATTTTTTTTCAATGGATTTGATTTCTTCCTCCATAGTTAATCTCCATTTTGGGCTTTTGACAGCTTTCTCAAAATTCAGAGAATCTTAAATCATCAAAAATGCCATATTTTCTTCATCCTCTTTACATAAGAATCTTCATCAAAATTATAATCTATTTACCATACAGGTGGATGTCGATTTCTCCCCTCCCTATTATCAAATCTAGTGCAACAGCTACTGGAAAATTGTTTTAAGCAACTGGTTCAATTGTTTCAGCAACCAGTTTAGTCGTTTCCTCAATGACTTCTCCTTCCTCAGCTGTGTTCTCATCAATTTCAATATTTTCCCTCCAGTTCAATTTTGTTTCACCTTCAAAAAAAATTTCAATCTCATTCACGATCTTCCTCGAAAGCTACATTACGACTTACTATAATTTTATTTGTAGTTGGATCAAACATTCTATAGCCTTTGGATTCGCTATTGACTCCAAATAAAACACATGTTATACTTTTATCTTCAAGTTTGCTTCTCTTGGCATCTGCAATATGGACATGTTCCACACATCCAAAAACTATGAAATAATCTACTAATGATTTCACTCTACTCCAAGCCTCTTCTGGTGTTACTGCAAGAGTGGTTGATCAATTCAAAATGCGATGGACTATTTCAGGCCAGAAATTTTTAGGTATTTTCTTCTCTGTCAGCATAGCTCTTATCAAGTTCATCACAGTGCGATTTTTGCGTTCGGCCACTTCATTTTTGTAACAACCCGAAATTTCCACATACTTAGAGTCGCTACTAACGTCTCATGCTCATCTATAAGGAAAAAATATAACTCTTTCATGAACATTATTTAAAATGTAAACTTCAAGAAGCGCTTAAATCAACTTCTTCTCTGGAAAACATAGTCATGATCTTACGTGTTTAAATACGAAATACTGAAATTTAGAGAAAATAAAAGCAATACAAAATAATTTAAAACAATGAAATGCATAACAACCTATTCTAACCTAAACCTAGAAATTTAAATATGATTCCACCCTATGCACGTGCCACAGTCTCTGCTCGCGATGCCGCCCGTCCTCCGTACAAGTGCGTCTTGCCTTTATCTAAAAAATAATGTGGCACACGGCCTGAGTATTTTGAATAATACTCTGTAAGTGACCCCACGATAGGGGGACCCTGCAAATGCAAACAAATGCAATCATGATTTAGGAACCTATCTCTAATCATCATAGGGTGGCCTCTAGTCTTGAACCTATTGGATTGTAGTACTTCCCTGCACACGATTCACACATGCGAGTGTGAATCCCCAAGGCGCTCACACACCCCCTAGACCCTCTGGTCAAGCTAATCTGTAGTGATGTTCAGAGGTAAGCGGAACCCCATAGTGTCATGCGCCTCATAAACACCCTCATCTATGCACATTGGAACTCATCATCATACTGTGCGCGTCTGCACTCATCATCTCTAGGAGAAGTAGCCCTATGCTTATGACCATACAATATGCATGAAGTCCCTCTAAATCCATCATAATGTCTCTTCTGACAACCCTCTAGTCTCATCTCTTTGTTACTCTAGGTAACACATAATCGTGGATATTTATATTAATA